TAAAGTAAAATGATTGTTCCAGAATGACAAAGATGAAAGTGTAAGACTGTGGATAAAGAAAGGGGATCTATGAAAAGTAGCCTCACACGGTGATCTGATCATAAATTTCTAACTGGGCAGGTCATGATAGGCAGCCATGCCCTAAGTCTATACAACCTTTTTTTTTTTTTTTTTTTAATGTACCCATTTTTTGTACACAGTTTGATGAGTTGTTTTTTTCTTTATTGATTTTAGCGAGAGAGTAAGGGAGAGAGAGAGAGAAACATCGATGAGAGAGAACATTGATTGGCCACCTCCTGCATGCACCCCACTGGGCATTTGGCTCACAACCTGGGCATGTGCCCTGACCGGGAATTGAACTGCAGACCTCTTGGTTCATGGGTCGACACTCAACCATTGAGCCACACCGGCCGGGCTATATAACCTTTTTAAAAGTTGATTTTGGAGAGAAGAATGGAGAGAGACAGAGACAGAGATAGAGATGTTGATGTGAAAGAGAGAAATATTGATAAGCTGCCTTCCAAATGTGACCTCACCAGGGATAGAACCTGCAACTTTGGACGTGTGTTCTGACCAGGAATGGAACCCACCACCCTTTGGTGCAGAGGATGATGCTCTCCAATCAACTGAGTTACACTGGCCAGGGTGGGACTATAACTTTTAAAGCAAACCCTGTTCATTGTTCTTGTGCATGTAGGTTAACACACCTTGGAGATGCCAGAAGTAATACCCTTCCAAGGCACAACCATAATTAAGAAAGCATATAATCTTGTGCCCTGGCTGGGTGGTTCATTTGGTTGGAGCGTCATCCCGTTCACCAAAAAGTTTGAGTTTGTTTCCCGGTCAGGGCACATATCTAGGTTTTGTTTCAATCCCGGGTTGATGTCTCTCTCTCTCTCAGATTAATAAACATATCCTCGAGTGAGGATTAAAAAAAAACAAACAGAGCCCTGGCCGTTTTGGCTCAGTGGTTAGAGGGTCGGCCCACGGACCAGTGAGTCGCGGGTTCAATTCCGGTCAAGGGCAAGTACCTGGATTGTGGTTTGTCCTCAGCCCTGGTGGGGTCATGTGGGAGGTAGCCAGTCGATGTGGCTCTATCACATCAACGTTTCTCTTTGTTTCTCTCTCTCTCTCTTCCTCCCGTTCTATCTGATAATAACTAGAAAAATACCCTCGGGGGAGGAATAAAAAAAAAAAAAAAAAAAAAAGAAGAAAAAGAAAGCACATGATCTTGTTAACTGTCCTGTATTCCAATCTTGGTCTTGTTTTCTCCCACCTTTACATTATCTTCCTTAGTTCTCTAGTAAATTTCAAATGCATAAAAGAAGCTGAAAAACTGTTATTCTCTGAAACAGTTTAGATCTTGCTCCCCAACATATGTGGTCAGTTTGGCTCAAATAAATTCAAAAAAATCTTTACAGGTCTGGACATTTTTTACGCCAACAGTACAAAACCTGAATGAGCCCGGCCACTGTGGCTCAGTGGTTGAGCGCCGACCCATGCACCAAGAGGTTACCAGTTTGATTCCGGGTCAGGGCACATGCTCAGGTTATGGGCCCAATCCCCAGTGGGGGCGGGGGTATGCAGGAGGCGGCCAATCAATGTTCTCTCTCATCAATGTTTCTATCTCTCTCTCCCTCTCCCTTCCTCTCTCTCTAAAATCAACAAAGGAAAAAAAAATTTAAACAAACAAAAACCAAAAACAAAAAAGCCAAAACCTGATTGAATATGGAAAGTTGTACAAGGTTCACAGAAGATAACTTTTATTTCTGTGGTCAGAGCTAGTTGAAGTTCAATGGGCTTATTTAAGTGATATTTTTAAATGAGCTGTTATGTCAAATAGTATACTGATGTGAAATTAGAATTTGATTTTCTCTGTTAAAATGGAAATTTTTTTCTTAGACTATTGGTCTGCTCTTAATAAGAGGTCATAAAAAGTTTTCCTTTGCTTTTCGAATAATCCGCCTAGAAAGCAAAGGTTCTGCTTCTTAGAATACTTTTCTTTACTTTATCATGTTCTTAGTTACTTGAGAACCAAAACTTCTCACTTTCGAAAGAACTAAGGTTCTTTACAATTGCGTTACTTCCTATACTGACATTAAAATATTTTGTCACTTTAAATAGAAAGCCATTTAGCTTGGCTCATTAACATGTGATCTTATTTAACCAAATATGCAAACCTCCTGACAACTTTGATATTTCGCCTTCCTAAACTCAAATCTTTTTTTTTTTATCCTCACCCGAGGACATTTTTCCATTTTTTGTTCAGGTAGAGTGGGAGGGAGAGAGAGGAAGGGAGAGAGAGAGAGAAACATCGATGTGAAGGGACACATCGAGTGGCTGCCACCCGCACGACCAACCAGGGCCGGGGAAGAACTGCAACCGAAGTACGTGCCCTTAGCGGGAACCGAACCCGGCTCTCTGCAGACCGCAGGCCGACGCTCTAACCGCTGAGCCAAACTGGCCAGGGCCCTAAACTCAAATCTTAAGTGGTATATTCTTGATCTTAACTTTCTTTGAGAGACCCTGGAAAACCACAAGGGACCTTTTACCTTGTAAAAACAGAGGTACTATAAATAATTAGGTTTATTTGATATATCGAGTTGGGAGGTTTTGTCAATCAGAAGAGATACCTAACCTTCCCTAGGTTAAATTTGTGTAGGCAAAATCTTATTAATAGAAATATTTCAGAAATTGTATGAAGTCCCTTTCCTAGATATTTGCCAATGCCCTTGCTGTCCACATATGTCCTGGTTCTGCTTTGCCGGATATTAAACAATAGTAGTGTTACCAGTCATAATTCATTATTTTTTAAAATGTTGCATGCCAAAGAAACAACCAAATTCCTTTGTCAATTCCATGATTTTTGTAAGTCTTTTGTCATGCACAGTTTTTTATTTTACACTGAGGACTCCTTGAAAGTGCTTGTAATCAGCTATAGGCTACAATGCTTCATGTTCAAGGAAAAGGGACTGTTTCAGACCCCCATGGACAGGACTATGCCAGGTGCTCTGGGAGTACAGGCTTCTGATGGCATAACTTAGACAGCTTTGAGATCTACCACTGGACTGAGTTGGAATTTCCAGAAATCTAATGAAGAAGCTGATGGATTCATGGGACTGCTAACCCAAGACTGAGCAGAACAAGAATTAATTACAAAGGACTGAATGAACTAATAAAGGATGATTATGGGTTTTGTTTGGAATATTGCTGATGTTTAATGTTCTATTTTCTAGATATAAGGAACTCCTTTCTCATTTCTCTTAAGCTGTCCATAACTCATAACAGTTTAGTATGTAAATAAAGAATCCTGCTTCGTGGAAATTTATTTATCTTGGTAGAGCCTGGAACTGATTAACCGCGATAAATGAGGGCCGACTGTAGACTATACTTTTATAAACAGAAATGAAACGCTTATCTTTGTCTCCCTGCCCGATCCCTCCTGAATTTGTAATTTCTTTCTGAGCATTTTTATTTTAATGGCTATACAATTATTTGCCTAGGTTCAATAAGAACCTGCCCTCCTTCTTAACAGGATGTATTTGGAAACATATTAACCAAAGCTCTGACTGGAATGTCATAATTGAGAAAGATGCTTATAGAATCAGATATGAACTGACAATTTAAAGTAACTACACTACCGTGTTATTTTTGTAGGTTTTAGGTTTTTTTAGGGGTCATACTGTCACCAACAAGTCCTGGAAATATCTGGTTAGGAGCTACAGATGTAGTCTTTGTCTTTTGCAGTAATAAAACCTCTTCTTCCTTTCCCAATTGTACGCATGCAGCCTAGATGGTGGCTGAGGTTGGGGTGAGAAAGTAGTTACAGGGGCACTAGTTCAACAGCTATTGAACATTGGGTCCAAGGTCCTCGTTCAGTAGTGGAGGGATTTCTCTGTCATGTCTTCTATTTTTGGATTTTCTTTCTTTTTTTTTTTATCCTCACCCGAGGACATTTTTGCATTTTATCTTCAGATAGAGCGGGAGGGAGAGAGGGGAGAAGAAAGAGAGAGAAACATCGATGTGAGAGAGACACATCGAGTAGTTGCTACCCACACAACCCCAACCAGGGCCGGGGACAAACTGCAACCGAGGTACGTGTCCTTACTGAGAACTAAACCGGGGACTCTCTGGTCCATGGGCCGACACTCTAACCGCTGAGCCAAACCAGCCAGGGCTATTTTTGGACTTCCTTGATCACCCTTTTCTGTCCCTGGGCTGGATCAAGACATAGATGGTATGCAAATTGTATCTTTGGATATACAACTTAGAAGCATGGATCACTTGATAGGCAGAATGATGATTCAACAGGATTCTGACAGCCTCGGGCACTGGTCTTAATGAGCAAGATGAAACTGTCTTGCCCATTGATACACATCTGGAGAAATGGGTTCAGATGTGTGTGGGAGGACACCTCTGAGGAGGGTGTTTGAAGATGCATATTCAGAATTACTGTCAAAGAAGAGTTGATGGGACCAGGGGTGTTTAAATGGGAGAAGAGTTAACAAAAGGCGACCCTAATAAGCATCTTTATCTATTTAAAGGCTGGTACATAGGGATTGTAGGTTACCAGTGAGTGATAAAGGGAAACAGAACTCAATTGAAGAATGTATTTTCTAAAACTGAGCCTGTACACAGACAGAATGGGCTTACAAGGGACTGTGCTCCTAGTCATTGCAAGTGTGCAATAAGGACTAGGTGGCCATTTGTCTGCAATGGCAATGAAGGGGAGATGGTCCCAAAAGAATAAAATATTTTTCATTAAGATCTAACAAATCTAGAGTTTCCATGTTTTCTGCATGCATAGTTTCTAGATCTTGTTATTTTTTTCTCTTCAGAGTTGATATTTTTAAAAGTATTTACTAGCTTGTATAGAGAGAATGGCTTCAGGTAATAGGAGAAAATAAATCACACAGCCAAATACACCAAGTTATTACACTTAAAAAAGGAAGCCTTAATATTGACAATGTAATATCTTAATATTTATTTTAATCGTGTACATTAATGTGGGTTAAGCAAGTATGATTAAGGCAATTAAAAAGAAGCAAAAGTGTAATACAACCACCCCTCTTCCTTGAGCCTGCAGAATTCTATGCCTTTTTAGAATTGAAAGAGGTTGGTTTAGATTGAAATCAATATTGATCTTGCAAACTGTCTGTCAATATATTGCACGTTGGTTCTAAAACTCCCTTAAAGGTAAAGTGTATATTGACGGTGGGGAAGCCAGCCTAACTTGGACCTCTTTATCCTGCACTCCATCAGCTGGGCCTGTACCAAGACTCAGGAATAGCACCTCTCACCCAAAGGAGTGACCTTTCTTTCCCTTTTACTCATTCACTCAGCACCTCTGTGTCAGTGCCTTCCATGTGCAAAGTCCCATTCTGCAGGCTAGACTTTATAAAGACCAGCTTACATTTAGTGTCTGTAATTATACCACTTATTCCCTCCAAAGCAAATCTGATGCACATCTATGCAAATAAATGTAATGTTCCACTCTAATCATTTGGTAGGAAGAACAAGTCCACCAGCCAATGTGCATAGGACTCAGAAACTGTAGAGAGATGTAGAGACATTTTATAATACAATCAAGAGAACAGGCCCTAATTTTTCATTAGAAACACTCTCAGGGTGTTCCTCCTCTTGAGGAGCTTACACAATGATGCTGGTGGAAAGGCAGAGGAGCACAACTGAACCTGAACAGAGCATCACTGGCCTGCATCTGTCCAGCCAGCCAATGGGTTTCCACTAGCTTGGGACAGAGTTTGGATTGGAAAATAGATCACTGAAGGCCCTGTGCTCAGATTGGCTAGCCCACTGGAGCTTTCCCTGGGTCAACAAACTCCTCTTTGGGAAGGTCTCTGAGTCAAATCTCTTCTCAGCTGAGAGCATCTCAGTTCAGAAATTTTTTCAGAGAAAGAGGAGGAGAGGGAAGAGGGGTAATTTGGCCCTTGTGGTACTTCACTAGGGGACTCAGGATGCCCAGAGGACCGATTTCATACAGTCCCCTCTTTGTTAGAGTGTGCCTCAGGGGAGGTCTGAGGGGTTTGTGTTACCTGGTAGGATTACATAACCTTTGCACATACTCAACATTAAATTAATGTTGGCTGTTGTTGTTACTGTTACTGGAAAGAGACAGCAATGGTTCTGTATAATATAATGACCACCTTTCCGAACCTCAATATCCTCAGCTGTAAACTGGGACAAGAATGCCCTCTACACAGAATTATGGGGATTAACGCCATCACTTTGTGATAATGTCTGGCATGTAGTAAGGCCTCAAGGAATGTTAGCTGCTTTTTTCCCTTCTTAATCCTGTTGGAGTGTATACACTTTAAAACCTACTTTAGAATATTTTTGTGTAAAATTTAGGGACTGGGAATTGAGGGCAAAGGTATTAATCAGCTATCAAGATTCAGACATAGATGTTCCTTTGGTCAATAGCCTCCTAAGAATTACATCTTATAGAATTTAAACCAAATTGTGTAAACATTTCAATACACGCCTGCAGGAAAACAACCTCAACTATATAGTGAAAGGTGGTAGAAGGAATTAAAATATTCTATATAACTCAATCAAAAGCTACTAACTACTTTTAAAAGTATATGGAAAGTTTAAAAATGTATATATGGCAAACAGACAAGCTAAACATTGGCCTATGCCAATCTCTAGCATTCAATGTCTGCTATTTACCCACCAGGGATCGTCAACAGTCTTCAACCTGGCCCTTCAGAAGCTTCAGGGTTCTCCTTGCATTCTACAGTCCCAAAGGTACACTCCGAGCTACAAACCAAAATGTGATTTGCTCTCTGTCCCAAGTCACTACACACTGAACCCAATGCTCCTGCCTATGCCTATCATACCAGGCCACCTAAATTCATCAGGAAGCTGACACTCTTTAGGGAAGCATAGATGGAATTCTTGTTCAATCCTCTTTGCTTGAATCTGAAATAAGATCATGGATGTGAAGCACTGTCTGACCTATAAAAGGCTACACACACAAGTAATTATCATAGCATCATTAACATATGCTACTGGATGTAAGCAAATTCAACTTGAGAAGGGCAAAAGCATCAAGAAATCAAATGGTGAGGGAAGAGGAGCTAGCAACTTGGGGCAACTGGGGACAGCCAAACTTGTCCAGGAGTCATCAGCTTCTTCTCAGCCTGGGGGAGCTAAAAGAAAACAGAAGCAGCCATGAGATTAGAAATACACATCCAATCCAATGACCAGAGACTCTTGGGGTGGGTGACTGCTTGTAGCTGGTAGAACACTGGGTTGCAACCCATTTCCATTGCCTTCAAGGGAGATATTCTGCTCTGTGCTTCTAGCTGAGGAGGTGCTAAAGATGAAGGGCCACCAGGATCCAGAAAGGCAGTGTCCTATGGGCACTGGGCCTCATGCAGCTCAGACACTGGGGTTGAATCTTCTGGCTTTTACCACACGAACCTGTCTGCAGGCAGTGTTGACAATGTGGCCCAGAGGCTGCTTGGGCAGCCTCTCCTGGTTAGGCCAGCCCCATGATGGCACCATTCCCTCCCACCCATGCATACTTATTCTGGCTTTTACCTGCTGCTGTCCCCACCCCAAGATGTATCTTGTTTTACTAAACACCCTGGCTGTCGAGTTCTGATCTTATGCTATATGAGCTATGGTGAAGGTGGCCAAGGGCCTACAGAAGAGAGCTCTGAACCTGAATCTGAAGTGCAGGGTTGAGGTCCTGATTCTGCCATCCACCAGCCAGGTGTTTCCCCAGCCCCTTTTCCTTTCTAGGTCTTTATTTCCTTGTCCCTAAATGAGGCTAACAACACATGTCCGGCTGGCCTCCCAGGGCAGCTAGATGGCTCAGCTGAGGCACTACATGGAAGGCGCTTCTTGAGAGGAAGAGACTACAACACCTGCAAATTGGAAGTGTTTCTGAGGAGGGTCTTTCCACCTAAGACTTCAAAGTATCATAGAGCATAGGGACAGACGACTCGGGGGCCTCCTGAACATAAAGGCGAAGAGTGATATTGGTGTCCTGGGTTGTGACTCAGAGACAGACCAGGGCACATGTCTTCCCTCTAATAATCCTGAATACTTGGCTTTTGGGGTGCCAGCACCCACCTAGAAGAGCTTCTCATAGCATTTCCCACAGTGAATGGTGTCACGGTGAATAAAGATCTGATCCAGGAGCTCACCCATCGGTTTACAGCAAATGCCACACTGAAAGAGAAAGCAAGCTAGAGGTCAATATACAAATGAAGCAGCATAAACAGTGCAGTGGGGAGGGAGCTCCTGACCAAGGTAGGCAGGCAGACACTGAGTAGAAGGCACACTCTGGACTTTGAAGCAGACAATTAAAAAATGACAGAAAACAGATACAAAATGTTTAAGCATGTAATGTTAAGCATATAACTCACTGTATTGTGTTTCTGTCATTTTAGTTACTATGGACCAGGACTTAAACCTCAACTTTGCCAGCTGATGGTGCTGATCATTTTGGGGGTCACCTCTAGGAACACATTAAAAAAATACAATCTGGCTTGCAACATGCTTCACACTGTGGAGAACAGGGACTCTGAAGAGTTGTTAAGATGCTGTGGCCATGGGTGTCTTCTCCCTCTTTTTTATTAATCCTCATCTGAAGATATATTTTCATTGATTTTTAGAAAGAGAGGAAGGGGTAGGAAGGGAAAGAGAGAGAGAGAGAGAAACAGAAACATCGATGTGTGAGAGAAACATTGATCACTTGCCTCCCGAGAGTATGTGCCCCGACAGGGGATCAAACCCACAACCTAGGTATGTGCCCTGACCGAGGATCAAACCTGCCACCTTTGGTATATGAGACAACACTCCAACTAACTGAGCTACCTGGCCAGGGCTCTTTTTTTTCTAAATGCAACAATACCAGCTGGTATTTTTAAATGTTATATCAACCTAATAAAGGGAAGGAAAACCTATAATTAAGGATATTGACAGACTAACTTTTACAAATGAGCTTGAGCAATGGGGTGACCTTTCCTGGGAGGCAGCAGAGTGAAGGTGGAATAACATCAGCTCTGATGCTGGAACCAGGATTGTGATCCTTGGTTCTGAGCAGCTTTGGCATCCTAGAAAAATAACTCCCTTTTGACCTCTGTGCTCATGGTCCATGAGGCAGCTCTCAGGCATCCAGCCCACCTTCCAAGAATCACCCAAGAATATCAGGCCGCACTGTTTGCTACAACTTCAACTTTCCCAGCTCTTATGTGAGCCCCAATCAGGCAAGTTTAAAACCACTGTCCCTCCATGTCTCCTCCATACCTACTCCCTCTCCTGTGGACCTCCTGCTTTCCTACTCTTATTCCCTCTGTGCCGTGGGCCAGGAGCCAGCTGCCTTTGGTCATGCTCAGCCACCTGGAAAATACCCCTGTGTACTCCTTCACCTCAGACTCCAGACCCATCTCCCTCACAAAGCATTCCCAGGGACAACCCCCCACTCCGACTGCACCTTCCCCTAACAGTCAGCACTGTGAGACCAAGTACTTCAAGAGCTGATTATTTCTCAGGCTCCTGGAATTTTGCTATTTAACAGGAGTGCTCTGGAACTAAGTATATAACCAAAAGTTGACAAAATCTTCTAGGACTTTTCGAATAAGTCCAGTAATCAGGAAACAAAACGTTCCTTGGCAAACCATGTATAACAACCTTTTCGTTGAAAAATATACTACTACTTGGAGTCCACAGACTACAACTGGTCCTCAAATTATCCCCCCTGCTCCCTTCTTATTGAAAATATCTGCTGGTCTCCAGGCTGTGCCCCTCTGTCTGTGATTTTCAAATTGGGATTATTTTCTCCCTCCATCAGTACTCCTGTCCTGAGTCAATTCCGGATCCATGTAGATGGAAGAGCTCCCCAATATCCCGGCCTTTTGTTCCTTTCTTTCAATGCTCTGGCCAAACTCTACATGGGGTCCCTGGACCAGCAGTGCCTGGGAACTTTTTAGAGAGGCCAATTCTTAGATCCCATCCAGATGTATTGAGTCAGAAAATGGGTTGGGGTCCAGGGCTCTGTGTCTTAAGCCCTCCAGGGGATGGTCAAGTGTGACAACTGCTGCTCTACACCTTGTCACTACCAAATCTGCAAATCAGATGTCCCACTCCTTGACTCTCAACTCTTTCAACTCACTTGAACAGTTCTCTGTCACCACTAGGACCTCCAATATGTGGATTAGTCCACTGCCTCACTGTTATTGTTCCCTTGCATACAGTCTCAATCTTGCCAGGTAAATGCAATTCTACCAGGTAAATGCAACTCTCCCTGATTCACTAATTTTTAATTTTTTAAATTAAACATTTTTTTTCTTTATTGGTTTGAGAGAGAGAGGAAGGAAAGGAAGAGAGAGAGAAACATCGATGTGAGAGAACATGGATTGGCTGCCTCCTGCATGCCTCCACTGGAGACTGGGTCCACAACGGGAATCGAACTGGCGACCTCTTGGTGCATGGGTCGACATTCAACCACTGAGCACACCGGCCAGGCTCTCTGATTCACTCTTGACCCTGAACATGGCTAGGAACAACGGTAGCTCCAACCTTCTTCCTTACCTTAAAGCAATAGTCATGGCAGCAGATGCCAAGATGTTCGAGGGTAATCTTTGGACTGTCTCGGATCTCTCGGTTGCAGTAAGTACAGATCCCTCCTGTTATTCTGTGAGATGAAAAACAAGTTGTCAGTCTGGAATGTAGACTACTGATGTGATACAGTCAGACCCTCTGGTTTGACATAGCCAGGCTTAGGTTTGCTGCTAGGATTCTCAGCCTGCCATCTTTTTTCTGTGGTGTGCAATTGGTCACATAGCACTGGGCCAGAATGGACCTCTGTAGACTCTTACATTATTTCTAGAAAGTGGTCATGTATCTTCATACTCGCTATTGTATGTGTAGATACCCCGATGTGATTTTTTTAAAATATTTTTTTTCTTTATTGATTTTAGAGACAGAAAAGGAGAGAGAGAGAGAGAGAGAGAGAGAGAGAGAGAGAGAGAGAAGAGAGAGAGAGAGAGAGAAAGAGAGAGAAACATTGATGAGAGAGAACATTGATTGGCCACCTCCTGCATGCCTCCCACCAGGTATTGGGCCTACAACCTGGGCGTGTGCCCTGACTGGAAATCGAACTGGTGACCTCTTGGTGCATGGGTCAACACTCAACCACTAAGCCACATCAGCTGAGCCAGATGTGATTCTTATACCAGGCAGCTTGCCCTTCCTTGCCCCTTGCCTAGCATATCTGCTCCCCTCTGGAACAGGAAGACCCATCTTTTCTCCTATAGGAGACATGTCCTTGTATGCCCTACCTGGCTATCTGTCTTCATGGCACTTCTGTTCATACCTGGGACCACTGAGCCCTGCCTCTCAGACCGTATACTCTTGGACCCCTATGATACTATGTGACTTAAGATATTATTTATTCTTTCCAGACATGTTTTCTTTACTGTGACTTACGTAAACTGTATCTCTAAGATTCCTTACTCCCTATTCTAAAAATTGAAAAATGGGACTTCTGCCAGGCCAGTGTGGCTCAGGGGATTAAGCATCATCATCCCATGGACTGAGAGGTCGCTGGTTTGATTCCCAGTCTGGGCATATGCCCAGGTTGTGGGCTCAGTCCCTAATAAGGGGCGGCAGAAGGCAGCTGATCGGTGTTTCGCTCTCACATCGATGTTTCTATCTCTCTCTCTAAAAAATCAATAGAAACACATTTAAGAAAAAAAAGAAAAATGGGACTTCTTTATCATTAAGACCATTTAGTAACAGCTTTTGAAACTGCTGAATGAAGTGTTCTCTGCACCTTCATTCATTTCAAATTAATGGTTCTGACTCTTTTCTGGCTTCTTAATAAGAGCAACTTCATTTCCCACTCACTACTCTCTTTTGTAGTTTTTTTTTTTTTTTTTTTTTTTTTAATTCTAGTCAGATTTACAAGTTCATGAAGTGATCAATTAGGTTCTAATCTCAAGGGCCTGTCCTGCTGACATGAGCCCCTTGGGCTTTCAGACACCACCATCTCCTTTCTCAGTTGCCCTTTGTGTTCACCCTCATCTTAGCTGGGTTTGAAGGCTTTAGTTGACACAAGTGTGACATCCTGATAAGGGATACACAGTGGTGTGACAAATATGAAAGTGGATCAGAAACAGCAAAACAGAAGACAAAAGCAAGTGGACTTAGCATGGAAATCCCCCTCAACTGTTTCTCCCCTGTAGACCCATGAGTTCCCTGGTAATATAGTAGACTTACCTCTCAGAGTATGGCGTGCTGTCATATGGGGGTTTCTTGTCCATGTTGAAGGAGTCCTCAGTGTTGCTGATGCTACACGGGGTGATAGAGGAAGGGGAGGGCAGAAAGTGAGAGCCAGGTTACTACCCGTCATGAGTGGGGATGCTTTCCTCATTAACACTGTGGCCATAAGCTGAGACGTGACTCTGCATGGCCAGCCACCATCTGTTTTGCAAAATGGCAAGGGAAGCTTTAAACTTGGTGCCGAGGAGGCATAATTCTCTTAGAGAAGAGCCCTTGCGTGGGGGGCAAAGAGGATCTGCCATGGTGAAGCAGTAGGAAAGAAGCAGGGCTTTTCTCCCCACATATGTGTCTGGGCTATAATGCGACAGTCACTAGGAGCCCACTCACAGCAGGAATTAGACACCACCAGAGATGGGAACAAAGAAAACATTCCATGATAATACCTGTGCCTGGGTTACAGGGTGAGATTAAGAGTGAGATTTTTCTTTCTTTTTTCATCATAATTTTTCAATAATAAAACTTTTTTTTAAAACTTTTAATTTTTTTCCTTTATTTATTTTAGAGAGAAAAGAAGAGAGAGGGAGAGAGAGATAGAAACACCGATGAGAGAGAATATTGACTGGCTGCCTCCTGCATGACCCCACTGGGGACTGGGCCCACAACCTGGGCATGTGCCCTGACCAGGAATCAAACCAGCGACCTCTTGGTGCATGGGTCAATGTTCAACCACTGAGCCACACCGGCCGGACAATAATAAGACTTTTTATAATAAAAACTAATGGTTAAAAAAATAAAACTATTGCCAGGGAAGGGCGACTAACTACAAGCCCCACAGTGTGCTTTTAGTGAAACTGCCATTCTCATAGGATCCATATAATGACCCCCTGAGTTAGTCAAGAAAACTGACTCAGAGGTTAAGCAACCTGCCTAAAGTCACGTCCAAAGGAAGGCGTGAGCTAGAATTTCAGCCCAGGCTCTGATTTCTTCAGAGCATTAAGCTTATCTCTAATCCTCCTGAGGCAAAAGAGGAAAACACACTGGACTACATAATTCTCATTATCAAAGAAAATCTACTGGCTTGTCATAAGACGTAAAACTGGCTTGTCATTTTGACTGAGTATTAAATTCAGTTTTAAAATAAATTTAATTGTCAGAGTGTAAGAAATAAATTTAACAGAGTGGTGGGACTGGGAGAAGAAAAAACAGAAGATGGATAAAGTTCAATCAGATGACACCCATAGAGGCAAATGCTAAATGGCAAGGGCAGCTCCCTTTGTGGTGCTGGAGGTTTTGCATATGTTATTTCTAATCTCAAAACCTCTCTGAACAAAGCTATAGAGAAAAAAATAGATCAGTGGTGGCTAGGAGCTGTGGCTGGTGGTGTCGAGAGGTGCTAATGGGTACAGGGTTTCCTTCTGAGGTGATGAAAGTGTTCATGGGGAACTAGATAGTGCTAATGGTTGCACAACATTGTAAATGTACTAAAAAACACCGGACTGTGCATTTCAAAAAGCAAAATTTATGAAATGTAAATTATATGTCAATAAAGCTGGTGAGAAAAACCACCCTAAAGAGTTATAGATAAAGAAACTGAGGCTCAGAAAGGTCGAATATCTTGTCCAAAATAATCCAGCCACTGAGGGTCAAAGGTGGGGCTTGAACATGACCCCTATGCTCATCATTTTATAGCACCAGTGAAAACTGGTCTAGAATCCCCAGAGGCCCAATCCTGAAGTAAGACCAGGATGCTTCGCTCTGTTCCTAAAATCCTCACCCTAGCAGTAGGATAGTGTGTTATAAAAAAACACTCCCAGGAGCATGCTATCTCGGTGTGAGCTGTTTTAATTGATGTGGTATAGAGGAACCCTTCCACATGGCTTCAGGAAGCAAGCAAATGAAGAGATGATGAGTTATGCACATATCAGGACCTACAGTCAAATGTGTGTTCAGATGAGGCAACTTGGTATGCTGGAAAGAGCGTGGGAACTGAAGAGAGGAGCCCCATGTTCTGGAACAAGATGAAATTAACTAGATGGTCTGTAAGGGCCCCACCACTTCTGTATATAGTGATGCTCTCAGTATTTCACAAAAGAAAGCTTGTAGTGTATTAAGAAACAAAGACAGGCAGAAAGGGATGGCACTGGAAGTGGGGTGTAGGATGAATTAATGATAAAGAGGGAACACAAAGGCACTGAGTTAGGCAGAATAGCTGGAAATGCATAAATCATGTCCATAGGCAATTACATCACTCATCCATTCAATAAATGATTACACAGAAGCTACTCTGGGCCAAGTCCTGGATGAAGTACTGGGGATGCAGGAATGAGGACAACACAGGGTGCTGCAGGAGAAGGCCACGACGTAAATGATTCAGGGACTTGCTCTCACCTGCTATAGCACGAAGACACCAGCTTCCCGGAAGATACCTCACTAGCATTCATGTACTCCTTCACGAAGAGAATCCCTTTGCTGTGGAAGGAACACAGCAGAACAGAAAGAGGTATACAGAAAGATTCCAGGGGACTGGGCTTGGCCCAAAGGAGGGGTTCAGGGCTATGAGGACCTCGAGCTGGTTTGAATGAAGTGAAGGAGCTAATGGGAAGGCCTGGGGGCAGAGGCTCTGGTGTGCTCAAGCTGGGCAATAAAAGTGGCAAATGGGAGCTGCTGGACTGCTGAGCCCACTGGAACTGAGGCTGAAATCAAAGCCCACGGGGTCTGCTTGCTGTGTGTGGATGTGAGAGCCCTAGCAAGGTCATTGCAGCCAGTGGTGATATGTTATCCTCCTCCACACAGATCTCAACACTATTGAAGGCACACCACCCCCTACTTCAGTACAGTGGACTTGCTATCTCTCCCCTCTGACTGTGCTTTCTTCCTCTTCTACTGGGATCAGGAGAGCCTCCAAGCCTCAACCCTAGACTGATGGTCCTCTTCGCTCTGTGTGAATCTCCATCAGCAATCTAACCTCTCCCTTCTCGTTCACAGAGCTCCAGAGGCCCAGAAGTCATCTCTTCTTGGCCAGGCCCCTGGCAACATTAGAAACACGGTCTTCCTCATGCTGGGCTCACCAGTCCCAATATAACCCTATTTCTGTGCTTGATGTCAATAGAAGCCCCTCTGATAACCCCCCACCATACACACAAACCTCACTCAGCCTCCCTGTAACAGTTCCCTTCCTATACGCTAAGATTGTAGGTGAGGCCAGGAATGTGCATGAAGCAGTGGGTGTGCACATCCCTTACGATGGGTAATGTAAGGGAGACAGACATATGCCCTGGCCTCAGTGGGCTTTCTTTGGCCTTTCCAGGAATGTTTCCCAAGAGCTATTAGCAAGGTTTTATGGATGGCAGAGCCCTAGGAAGTACCACCTCAGCTTCTCATTGGGACAGAGTCTTTGGCTATACTATGTGGCCCCTTAACCAATGGGCTGCTAGGAGTTAGGGGAGGCACTAGAGTTAATGTCAGAGAAGTGACATGAGACAAAAGTCTAATCCTTTAGCTCCAGGGAGGAAACAACCCAGAAAACATGTCCTTACCTGGTTGAGCTGGAGTCCAATTCACTTGGGGAGGCTGGGATATAAACATGAGGCTGCTCGGCGGCAGCAGTGACTGTAACAGTGACCATACAGCTTGAGGGGTTTCTCACCCTGTAAGAAGTAGAGGAAGGGGCAAGTGTGTCCATACTGAGAGCTGATATCAAACAGGGGTTTTGGACCCTAATCCCCAGACTTCCAATTCAAGTTTTGTTTTTCTTTTTAATGCTGATATTTTGGAAATAACCCTTGCAAATCACTGAGTTTTTTCTTTTTGTTGTTGTTAATCCTCATCTGAGGATATTTTTTCCATTGATTTTTAGAGACAGTGGAAGAGAGGGAGGGAGGGAGGAGGAAAGAGAGAGAGAGAAACATTGATATGAGAGAGGCACATTGATTGGTTGCCTCCTGCATGTGCCCTCACCAGGGCCGGGGATCAAACTTGCAATACAGGTACATGCCCTTGACTTGGAATTGAACCCATGACCCTTTGGTGTGTGGGCTGACACTCTCACCATTGAGCCACACTGGCAGGGTGACCCTTCAGTTCATGAGCTGATGCTCTCACTGGCCAGGGCGCACATCACTGAACTTTTGCTCTTTAAGACTCCTGAGGTCAATAAGTGGTACCACTCACTTTACACATGAGGAAACCCAGGCTAGGTGACCCAGGTCACACTGTGAGTCAGTGGCAAGACTCCAATCTTCTAGTATCCACCCATAACTCCCACTGTAGCCAAGAGCTTTGACCTGTGACTTGCTTGGTTAGAGCACATCAATGGGGCTACTGGGGACTTGACAGACACAGCCCAACTCACCCCCTCACTGGATTGGATAGCTCCTTCCTAGGATCAGCTTCCCCTCCCCCCAATCCTCCAGTGAACTCTCTGGAGAACACAAGGCTGAGATAGAGAGGAACAAATAAATTTAAGCATCACCAAGGAAGAGACTTGGATGCAGCTCATTCTAGAAGGCACTGCCCATGAACAGAGGCAGGAAACTGACAGGTATAATGGTTTTTCTGAATCTCTCTCTCTCGACTGCGACACATAGCCTCTGGCCTGGAATCCAACCTCCTAGCCAGCTCACAAGGCCCTTCTCTGGCCAGGCCCTTACTTCTCTCACTCTGCCTCTCTCAGGTCCCCAGTCCCCTACTAAAACTGCTGCAGCTGCCTACTGTAATTCAGGGTATCCTGTTTGGCATCACCGCTGACACCTCTGCTCCATTTGTGCTGTCCATTTCACATCTGCCCACTCTCCAGCAGCCTCAGACCAGCTCTATGGGTGCACACTGCCCTGGGCTGATTTTGGTTTCTCTCCAACATGCTGCTGTTCAGATCATGCTCTGGATGTGGTCTGCCTCCACCCGGTCTAGGCTCTGGAGCATCACCCCTTGGCCAAGAATCCAAGACCTCAACTAGTTTAAGAGTGTGTGTGTGGGGCAATAATGATCTAGCACCTGCTTGTCTCTCCAGCCACATCTTCTCAAATGATGTCATGTGTACTTGATGCTCTAGCCATACTGAATGACCTTTCTCCTACCTTTGCACTCAAAACCACCTTTTCTTCCAGGAAGCCCTTCCGGGGTACCTGCCCTCTCACTCCAGGCCTCAAAGTGCCCAGTCACTCTGTGCATATGCCTACGTCACCCTATTGCACAGGAATGGATCATGGAAGCTGAGGAGATAAACTGGCTGAGAGTGAAAGCCTCCTGAGAATCTGGAAAGAAAGATAGAGTATAAATTACAGAGCCAGAGAGTGAAAAGAGGACTGACTGCAAGGGGAAAGACACAGCATCCTCTTCTGATTGAACAAGTGTCTGGCATCCTCTGATCCACACCCAGCACAACAATCAAAGGGACAGCAGAGCTGAGGGAGCAAGGCAAAAAATATGGGGATCCCTCCAGGACTGCAATGTAAGCAATGTGAGATCTCCAATGAGAGGGCTCCCTAACCCTCATCTGTTAAGATCCCAACTCCTTCCTATAGCCTCCTCCTCCTAGCCTACAGGTTCAGCCCTGGCCCCACCCACCTGGTCTCCTATCCCCTCCTCACTTCACTTCCTACTCTCCAAACTACAAGGACATTCTTTCAGTCCCTTCCTCCCAACTCCCTCTCTTACCATGACCTCTTACATGCTGCTTCCTCTACCCATTTTTTATCTTCCTAAGTTCTTTGCCAGGTTGGTTCTTCCTTGTGTGCTAGGTCTCAACTGCACTGTCCCTTCCTCAGCAGAAAAGCTTTCCCAGACTATTCTAGCTACAACATCTGCTGTCCTGGCCACTCTCCAGAGCACTTCAGTTTTCTTCTTTTTTGGGCTTATCACAAATAGAGAGGCAGCAGATATAACACAGTGATTCGCAGTACCGACTGGGCTCTGACTGGCTGGGTTCTAATCTCTGTTAAACCACTGCCTGGCTGGATCAGTGTCGGCAAGCTAATTAACCCCAGCCCTGCCTCAGTTTCTCATCTGTAGAACAGAGATAACAGAATCTCCCTATAGTGCTGGTGTCAGAATTGAGTATGAATGAAGCATCAGAATGGTGCCTGCACTATGGTGCTATTGCTATTGTGTTGATTGGTATGCTGGGTGCTCCCTGAGGGCAGGTGGGCAAGGCCATGAACATCTTGTTCAATGTGTATATGGCTGCTACCTACAACTGGCTCACATGAGGCCATTCCCACACTCATGGCCACTTTGGGAAAACTCTCTGGGGAGCAAAAGGAGCACCCAAATGCTGCTATGCAAGGCCAAACTGGTGGTAGTGACAGTGGAAGACTTCACTGAACTTCCTGTATCTCTGGCAGTGAGTCCCACCCACACCAGGGCACACCTTCCTCACAAACCTTCTGTCTCCATGAATGGCAAAAGCGACCCATATCCCTCTCCTGATCCAGGTCTTCATGGCCCAAATGGCTGCCGACAATATGGTTTTCTGTGTTAGGCTTGGTCTATCAGATTTGACGCTGTAGCTGCAAACTGAAGCCCACGTAGACCTGCCCCTCCAATGTCAATTGCTGGTCAGCTTCCCACTGGCTCCTAACCAGTCATAACTGCAGAAGGTAACTGGCATGCTCAACATGTCTGGGTTTGTTCTGGGTTGTGGAATTTGACAAAACCCTGGCTGTAGGAGTCCTTACCTGTTGGCCTGGTTCTCCAAATCTATGAGCTGCTGGGGTCTTCTGAGGCTGCTCTGATGCTCTGGAGTGCTGGGGTCTTCAGGCTGCTGAGTAGGTGCAGCTGGGTCTCTCTGGCCACCTCTCGGAGTTCCAGGCTTCTCCTGCCAGGTATCTCCCAGCTTGGTGACCACATTCCTCTCCTCAAAACCAGCCAAGGAGCTGAGGAAGAATGAGTGCCCTTATGAAGTGAGAATAGTGGGACTAGTCCTTGCTCACCCACTGCACACTGATGTCACCTTCTGTGGGCACAGCAGTTCCTCTCCTGGGGGATGGAGCAGAGATGAGGCTGACACTGCTCCCACAGGGGAAAGCAGTCTGTCTCCTTCTCAGGGGGACCCCAGCACCATTACTCCCCACCAACAAAGGCGGAATCCCAAAGAACACCCGATGAGTTGAAAGAGGTTTTAAAAGAGAAAATCTAGCTAGGAACAGTGGTACTCCTGTCTCCTTCCTCCCACCGGGATCCCTTGTCCTAGTCCACCTGTCCTACTTGAAAAGACGTCCTAGCCATATTTTATTCCCAGGCCCCAGTACTCAGACCAGTGTACGCAGCCAGGCCCTGCAGCGACCGGCCCCTCCTCGCCCCTGGTTTCTGGGAAGGAGCTTCTCCTCCAGGCTGCCCTGGCGAGCTGAGTGGGGCAACGGAGACGGATCAGGACTGTCACACACACTAGGTTCTCACAAGGGTGACCCCACAATGGTGGGAAGGACCACATACACCCAAAAGCTCCCAGGCACCCCGAGATATACAGCCAAACCCATTTGTGATCCGCGTTCGCCATCTGGCGGCGTGCGCGAGCAAAGCCGCAGTATAAGCCCTGCCAAAGACTATCTAGCTCAGGGCAGCCATTTTCTTGATTGAGGGTCGCGTGTCTTGGGGGGCACCGCAGTCCTGGCTCAGGGCTGCAAGAAATGGCAGCGGCACAGGCGCACACACGCCGGCCACGAAGCGCCTGGGAGGCTGACGAGTGCCCGCGCAGGCGCGCAGAGACTGTAGAGGCTTTGTTTTCGCAGCTAGGACGTCCTTATCTTCTTTATTGCGAAATAGTCACTGCTATTATTATGGGACAACATAATTTTTTCTTTTTTTGCAGATGAAAAAGCTGGGATGAGGTTCCTCTTGCAGCTCATAAATGGCAGTCAGGATGCAACTTCAATCTTATCCCTGTGACTCAATCTGATCAGTACCTGCCTTTACACTTCCCATTTCTAATCTGGGGTACAGAGGTGGGGTGTAAGCAGGAGCTAGGGCTCATCAGTTAAACATCCTGTTTAAAACAAACAAAAATGCCTTTCTCAAGCTCAGCGACCCTCCCGCCCCCTCAGCTGCTTCTCTTCCCCTCCAACAGCCAAACTTCTTGAAAGAGTTGTCTGCACTCAGTCTTGTCACTGCTTTCTTTTCTACCTGTTAACTTTCCACGGAGACTACCATTGCTTTCCAATATCCCAGACTATCTGTGTCAAAGCACCTCCTTACCCCCATGTGTCTACACCAATATGTTATCCTTTAGGCCCCTGCCTCCATTGGAGGGTCCCCAGGACTTCAGGGAGCCCAAATTCAACCATCGGAGGCTGAAAAACCTAACGAAATGATCTGGATATTTAATCCAGGTAGATGTGCTTTGCAGACACGCCAACTGATGTTTGCTTTCTCCTTGGTTCCTCACCACAAATTTAGTCTATAGTCTCCAAAAGATTACTTATCAGGCCCTGGCCCGAATTGCTCAGTGGTTAGAGTGTCGGTCTACCTACTGAGGCATCTTAGGTTTAATTCCTGGTCAAAGGTACATATTTGCGTTGCAGGTTCGACCCCCAGCCCTGGTCAGACAGGGTGCAGAAGGCAACCAATTGTGTTTCTCACATTGATGTCCCTCTCTTTCTCTCCCCCTTACCCCTCCCTTCCACTCTCTCTAAAAATCAGGTGAGAGTTAAGAACAACAACAAAAAATTACATATCGGGGCAAAAATAATCTTAAAAGCCTCCTCCACAAATATTAGCCTTCACATTGAGCAGGTAACCTCAACTTGTCCCATCTGCCAGAAACACAATTATGATAAAAATATAAAGTGAGAAAAAGACAAGAACCAACTCTTATATAAACCAGTGCATTTTGTATTTCTGTGTTTATACCTGACTCATGGCTGGAAATTTAGAATTGAAGCCATAAGATTGCTATTCGTTTTCATCTGTGTGTTTCTGTATATATATATGTAATATTTTCTTGACTCTGGATAGTATTGTTATAGTCAGTTAGACAAACACGAGCAGAGAAAGTACGATGGGCCAGGTACAGAAACTCACCAGGGCAGAAAGCCCCAAATGCCTAGCAAGGGGCAAAACTGTGAAAACAAAAACTTCGCCCCCCAGGATAAGCTTTCCTCCCCTAGCATATCATTGGTCATGAGGTTTGGATCCCTGTTGTTTCATATTGCTGGCCATGCGGTTAAGACTCCCTGACCTTTTCCTCCCTAAAGATAACATCTAGGTTTCAGTAGTATTTCAGCTCCAGGCCCAAACAAACAGCAAAACCAGGCAAGTGACCGGTAGTTGCTTCAGGGCCAGCTGTGCTGACTAATGACCCCCTGCCCTGGCAAAGACCAATCAGTGAAAACCACGACGCTGAAAGAGCACACCTGGAAAGCTGATGCATATATCCTATTGAGACCCTCCTCTTAGACCTCCCCTACAATTCCCACCTGCAAGTGAGAGATAAATACCCTCAACACAAAGGACCCAGGGGAGCATGGGCAACGCGGCACCATCCCCTTCCCTCTTCTTCCCTCTAAGGGACTCCATACTTGCACCCCGGGTAACAATGGGCAACGGCATCTGGTTGGGGGCTAACCCCCTGAACCTGTCTCCAAGGCCCCCTTTTCTCTGACTTTCCAGTGAGCCCAAGCAGCCCAGCCTAGGCTCTCCTGTTGCTTTTTTTTTTTTTAATCCTCACCCGAGGACATTTTTCAATATTTTGTTCAGATGGAGTGGGAGGGAGAGAGAGAGAGAGAGAGAGAGAGAAACAGCAACGTGAAAGGGACACATCGAGTGATTGCCACCCACACGACCCAACCAGGGCCGGGGACAAACTGCAACTGAGGTACGTGCCCTTAGTGGGAACCGAACCCGGGTCTCTCTGGACCGCAGGCCGACGCTCTAACCGCTGAGCCAAACTGGCCAGGGCTGCTTTTTTTTTAATGTTAACATTTTGCAGTTATTTCTTTGATTGATAGATATTTATTAAAGGTATAGTCAAAGTTTTTCATTTAATAATATAGAATTTTCCATGTTATTGAATAATTTTTGTAAAATTATTCAGGGCAATTATTTTTCTTTTTATCTTTTCAATTATAAAAATACAGTTGACCCTTGAACAACACAAGTCTGAACAGTGCATGTCCTTTATACATGGATTTGTTTTCTTTTTAGTTTTTTAAAAATTTATTTATTTTTGCAACTTTTATTAATTTATTTTTGTTACAGATGTTTCTCCTTCCCTCCCCCCAGACGCCCTCCTCTCGATCCCCCCGCCCCCAGCATTGTTACTTCAAAAAATTAAAAATTGAACTGCCATTTGACCCAGTGATCCCTCTTCTAGGAATAAACCCTAAGAAACCTGAAACACCAATCAGAAAAAATATATGTACCCCCATGTTCATAGCAGCACTATTTACAATTGTTAAGATCTGGAAACAGCCCAGTTGTCCATCAATAGATGAGTGGATAAAAAATGCTGTGGTACATATACACAATGGAGTTCTATGCAGCTGTAAAAAAGAAAGATCTCTTATCCTTTGAGACGACATGGAGGGACCTGGAGAGTAGTATACTAAGCGAAATAAGCCAATCAGAGAAAGACAAATATCACATGATCTCACTTATTTGTAGAATATAATGTACAAAACAAGCTGAGGAACAAAATAGACCCATAGATATAGAAAGGAGTATGGTTCAGATGGACAAACCTCAGAGGAGGGGGTGGGGAGGAGGGATGAAATAAACCAAAGAACTTATATGCACGTATCCTGTTGCTTTTTCTACATCTTCCTCATTTCACTGTCCTAAGTCTAAATTTGCTGTGGCCAATAAATTCTTGCTTGCTTTGCTACACATTGTCGCTTGATTGAAATCTTTCCTTCAAAAAGACAAGAACTGAGACAGTAACAGTATTACCAAATTAACTTAACAAAATCCTTTACCTTCTATTCCAATTGACTTAGAGATAAATAAGCACTTATATAACTTAAATATTCCTAAAACTTTCATAAATTACAGAAACAATTTCTAATACTTTGAATGTAAAAAATAAAGTATTCTTATAAAAACTAGCACAAATGTTTAAAAATCAGGTTCAAAGATTTTAGGTAAATCTTTGCCAAACAAGATGAGTTTGATATTGTTAGTTTAATTAAAAAACAGCTATGTCGCCCTGGCTAATTTGGCTCAGCGGTTAGAGCATCAGCCCATAGACAAGAGAGTCCCGGGTTCCAGACAGCCCGAGTTTGGTTCCCGCTAGGGGCACATACCTTGGTTGCAGTTTTTCCCCGGCCCCGGTTGGGGTTGTGTGGGTGGCAGCCACTTGATGTGTCTCTCTCACATCAATGTTTCTCTCTCTGTTTTCCTCCCTCTCTCCCTCCTGCTCTATCTGAAGATAAATGAAAAAAAAAAGTCCTCAGGTGAGGATTAAAAAACACACACAAAAAAACAGCTATGTCTTGTGAGTGAGTTATAAACATTACAGCTAACACACGCATATATTTTTATTCTACTTGAATATATTCTTCCTAAACATGAAACAGGTTTACTGGTTGAATAAGCTAGTATTACATCTACTAGATGTTTAAGATTATAAAAATATAGCCCTGGCCGGTGTGGCTCAGCGGTTAGAGTGTCGGCCTGCAGTCCAGAGAGACCCGGGTTCGGTTCCCGCTAAGGGCATGTACCTTGTTTGCAGTTTGTCCCCGGCCCTGGTTGGTCGTGTGGGTGGCAGCCACTCGATGTGTCCCTTTCACGTCGATGTTTCTTTCTCGCTCTCTTCCTCTCTCTCCCTCCCACTCTATCTGAACAAAAAATGGAAAAATGTCCTCGGATGAGGATAAAAAAAAAAAGATTATAAAAATATAAACTTGCTTTTAACAAAACTAGGTCATTATTCTGAAAACTT